AATCAGATTCATTATGTGCCCGACTCACTCAGTCATTCAAAGAAGGTCTGRAGGTATATACAATTTTTATTATAAAGTATTAATATAAGTCATTAATGATATTAACTATATTAATATTAGGGTATAAAGTATACTCATCTAGACATTTTAAGTACCAACGAATAATATTTTTAAATTACCACAATATAACTAAGAATTTTAATTTAATTTTTAGTTTTATTTAAATAAATAAGCCTCGGCGTCTATGGCCATTCGCATACAAGTAGTTTAAAGTAAACAATTTTTTAAAGATACAGTATTTACATATTATATAAGCAAGAACAGATTATAAACTATTTTATAAGATTAGTTTTAATTAAAAAAGTCATCATGTGACTTATGCCTTATGCCCTTATGGCATATGGATGGAATATTGAAATAAGCTTCCGACATGATATTATATTTGATACCTACAACTGTTATTCTTGGTTATTTAATATGTTATTTCATCCAAAATTAAAATAACAATAAAAAACTGTGTTTGTATAGTTTTTAGATTTTTTGTCACAGAATTAACTACTTAGGTACATGGAACATGGAACCTTGTTTTACATTTTCAATCTAAGTAGTAAAAATTAAACATTTTATACATTTTTAACAAACAAAGAATTTGTAAATTTTTWCAAAATTTGAGCTTTACATGATTATAAAAAAAAAACGCGCACATATATTTTTWWWATATTTTYTAATTGTTGTTATATAAACTTATGAGGAAYCTTGTATTTAATTTTCAAGCTTTTTTACCAAACAAATAAAATTTTATTGTCATTTATAAAAAAAAAAAACTAAAAATATTGAAAATTTCAAATGTCTATAAATAACTTAAAAATTGAAATATTTTGAAAATATTATCATGCATAGAAAATGACAGTATAAATATTTTGTGAAAATGTCTCATGTATTTACTGTAATTTGTTTTAGAGGTACACCTATATCTAAGATAGATTTTCTCAAAAATTGTTTTTGCGTAAAAATTGCCGTTTTTCCTTTTTTTTTTGTTTTTCTTTGTGCTTTTGAAAACTTTTGGGAATTTCAAAATTTTACCTTCCTAACGCAAGAACTGGATTCACTTTACAACCGGAAAAGCTACTGAAGTTGAAAATCGGAGCACTATATATATCGTGTACACACAAAAAAAAAAACTATATAAAAAAAACTTACATAATTGTAAAATCAATTCATCGCTTCGCTCAGAATCTAAAATAATAAATTAATGTTTTATGAACTATAGTATTTTTTTTTTGTTTATTGAAATTGAACATTATAGCTTCGATAACATAGGCCATTAGTTTTTGTTTTATGATAATTGTTTATATTGTTATTTTCTAAAAATGCATATTTAGTAATTTTTAGTGTATATTTCGTAATTTTTTAGCGCATAACAACYGATCCTTACATATTATTGTTTATTAAGAGGATGTTACACAAACACAACTACACAACCAGTTGTTGTCTCCGTCTTGCAAGTGCACAATATACCAAAGTTACGCTCAGCTAGCAAATCACGTTTAATTCCGTTAGTTAAAAAATTAGAGTAAATTTATTTTTTATGAAACTTGATGTTAAGAACATTATCTGTGTTTGTAAGTGGGTTTTTTTTACAATAGTTTAATTTTGTACCAAGTTATGCGTATATAAAAAAGCGTAAATTAAAAATGCTCATAACTCATTTAAAAAGTAAGTTATCGTAAAAAACATACATACAAACACAAATAATGTTCTTACTATCAAGACATCAAGTATCATAAAAGATAAATTTACTCTAATTTTTTAACTAACGGAATTAAACGTGATTTGCTAAGCGTGAATTTGTTATGTTACACACTTGTAAAACGGAGAMAACAAATATGTGTGTAGYGCCCTCTTAAAATAACCATTGATTATAAAATAAAATCCTTTAACAACGAAATAACAATATTTGAATATTATRAAAAATGTTTTAAAAAAATGCAAAAAGTTTGTCAGAAGTGGGATTCGAACCCACGCCCTCAGATGAGGACCAGAACGCTCAAATTAAGCCTACATCATAGGCCAAGGTTATCCTTGAGTCTGGCGCCTTAGACCGCTCGGCCATCCTGACATGTTGTGTAATTAATTAATATGAACTATCTGTATAAGCACATCTCTATAGAAATAATTTGTTAATTTTAACAATTCATATTTATTTTCTAATCATGCTTAATTAATTAAAAATGTTGTATTAAATACATATTTAAGACGAGTATTTACCAAAACGTAGGTCAGTGTAGTTGTACTGACGTCTGACATTGTAGTAATTTTATGCGAAGGCAACATAATATTATTATCACTTGGCTATGACAAAATATGAAATAGGTGATGAACTAATAAACTATTAAATATCTACGCATGTTTATCCCCAAGGGGATATTATTAAGCAATTGCCAAAAGACACATGTTATATAATATAAATATATAATATATATTATTAAAATACATTAATACGGTACCTATTACTTATACAAAAAATAAAGTAAATAAGTTAAATTGTTAAAGTTAGGTTACAAAACTAGTAACACTTTTTCAAATGTACCTAACTAACCAGGGGTTAAAGTGGGGGGGACGCAGGAGGACTCAGTCCCCTTACCTCTGACGGCGGTTAAAAAGCGTCCCCTTTAACAAATTAGGATTTTATACATTAGAGTATTAGACATTATACATAAAATTATATATGGAACGCTTAAAACTTTTTGGAAACATTAGTCCCCTCTGGAATTTTTTCCCACTTTAACCTCTGTAACTAACTTAATAAGCTAATTTTTTCCCATCAGCTTAAGAGTACGTAACAGTGGAATTTGTTGTATCCGTCTTATCAGTGCGTAATATATCAAATTTACGCTCAGCAGAACACTTTTAGCTCCTTTAGTTTAAAAATTACAGTGAGTCGACCTATTATGAAACTTGATGGTAAGAACATTATCTATGTTTGACGTTTGTAGGTTGGTTTTTTACGATAATTCAATTTTTAAGTAAGTTATGAGCATTTTTAATCTACTGTATATTATATGCTCATAACTCACTTAAAAATTGAATTATCGTAGATAGATACAATACAATGTACATATACATAATATTATGTAGGTATATATGCAAAGGTGCCTTTATATGCTAACTGGCTACCATAAACCTTATAACAACAAGTTAATATACATTTTCATAGAAAATCATCATTTTAGCCAAACGTATTTATTTAAAATCTTTCACATACCAAAAAAGTGACAACAACTTTTACAAGTTTGAAAAAAGCTTCTTTCAATTTCAAACCAAAGTTCAAACCGAAATTTTAGATTTTGAGTGGAGCTAGGAATGTATTGATTTTACCATGATGTGTGTGTTTTGT